TGGATGATGGATGGATGGTTGGATGATGGATGGATGGTTGGATGATGGTTGGATGGATGGATGATGGTTGGATGATGGATGATGGATGGATGGATGGATGATGGATGATGGATGGATGGATGATGGTTGGATGATGGATGATGGATGGATGGTTTGATGATGGATGGATGATGGATGGATGGTTGGTTGGATGGTTGGATGATGGATGGATGGTTGGATGATGGTTGGATGGATGGATGATGGTTGGATGATGGATGATGGATGGATGGATGATGGATGATGGATGGATGGATGGATGGTTGGATGATGGTTGGATGGTGTTTACCTGCCAGTACGGCGCCCCCAGTGGTGATGAGCACAGCGGTTACCACGCCAACAGAAGGTAAGGCGTTCCTCAGCACACAGACGCCGATGAGGAGCGTGAAGAGCGGCAGGCAGCGCTTGAAGACGACGTACATGGGCAGGCTGAGGCCGCGCAGCGACCACAGGGTGAGGGTGGACTGCAGCGTGGAGAGGACGCACACCGACGCAAACTCCTGCCCACATTCAGAGGACATGATGTTCTACACAGCAGAGTAACAGCAGAACCTCTCTAATGTTTGATGCGTCAGGTTCAGAACGCCGCCTCACTCTGAGCTACACAGTCCTCCATCTTCCTTCTGTCCTCACTGATTCGCTGGCGGCTTCGGTTTGAACCAGGATGTGACATCACTCAATACGTTGGCAGAGACACCAAGTTGGTTAAACGTATTGGTCAGGAGAAAGGCCTGCGATGCAGCACCATGGACAGCACCACTGACTGACAGGAAATGCTGGAGCGCTTTCTGCCTCGGTTAGGGTCAAAGGTCATGATGCAGCAGTAAGACCATTTCTCAGTTCACAAGAAGGCGAGTACGGACTGGTGTTCGTGAGAAGAACACAGGAAGGTCTGGACTGTGGAGAGAGGGCCGCTGCAGACGGGCTAACGTTAGCCCTGGCTGCTGTTAGCCTCAGAGCGCCGCTGGTTGCCATGGTCGCACTGAATCAGTTCCATATAGCGAAGCTTAAAGTTTAATATTCTCGCCTGAAATGATCTTAAAACGTACTTTTATTGAACAACAGCAACAGAAACTAGAACTTTTATCTTAATCCTCTGAGCTCTGTGAGCGCTAACCTGGAAGCTGCTGCTGCCGCACTGCATGCTGGGACAGCTGTCAGTCTGGAGAACGGACAGGTCTGCTCTGATGCATGCTGGGTAAAGAGGGAGGGGCCAGAATAACAACTGGAATCTTTGTCCATTCTCGGTCTGGTGTTCTGGTGAATTGGAACAGCACTAGTGCTGAGGCTGATGACGTTTCACGAGGACGCACAAGTACACATAGTGAGAAACATCAGAGACGTTTCACAGCGACCAGAACCACCACTGACCGCCATGATCCGAAGCACAGCAAAGCTGCCCTGAACGGCCTAGTCAAAGTTCCTGCAGACTGACCCATTAGTTGGATTGAACACTAGATGGCAGCAGTCGCTCCATCGTGCCGGGTCAGAACCGGACCGGAGCGGCTGTGGGGGAGGGGCAGCGGTTCTGGTATCGGCCTGGACACAGACCAAGAGCTGAACCTCATCTAGACGGTTCTGGAACCGACCTCCTGAACCGGGTCTGTTCCCATAGTAACCGCTGCTCCGTCTGCTCTCTGCAGAGCAACGATTAAACATGTCAGAGACAGAGCGGTTCTGACCCGTAAAGTCCGTTCTGCACTTAGAGGAGTGAAGAACCGAGTCCCGCTAGCTTCTCCACATCCAACAGAAACTGAGACCAAGTGGAACCAGAACGCAGTCTGTGCTCTGAGATCCCCACAGAAACATGAAGCTGACCCGTCGGGTCAGAACCCTTCAGAACAGAGCAGCTCAGGGTTCTCTGGACCTCCCGGGGAGCCCGGAGCTGCAGGTTTCCTTACCTTGGAGAGCTGCACGCTGAATGGCGGGATCTGGACCTTCCCCAGCCGCCTCAGGGTCTCCAGGGTGAGCGCCGCCGTGACGCTGGTCAGGAACTGGATCAGCGTCAGGAAGCCAAAGTGGTAGTTGCTGATGAGGAACTTTAGCAGGATGTTGAGGGAACCGGAGAAAACGCCGTGCGCCACGGCCACAGAGATCCCCAACAGGCGGCTCTTAAACACGTCCATGTTTCTACGCCTGGCAGCTGGATGGAGGGAACGGCTCAGAGCGGCGGCACACGAGGAATCCAGGAACTCTACAGCTGGAGATCAGCAGGGACTTTTCCTCTCTGCGCTCCGGCTCCGCTCTGAGGATCCCTGCTGAGGAGGGGGATGCAGGGGAGGGGGGAGGAGGAGCGAGAGGGAGGAGAGTCCCACGGAGGGAGAGCCGCAGCCACTCAGGAGATTTTACCGCAGCAGAGAGGAGGGGGCTGCAGAGGGGGAGGAGCGCTCAGGGTCAACCTGTTCACAGGAGGAAGGAGACCTGGAGCTTCTCCTCCAACCTTCATCTTCTTTAAAGTTTCACATCTGGACTCATTTAGGGATTCCTGATCCGGATTAAACCTCCGGCTTCATGTTCTGATCCAGTTTGACTGATTTAACCACAAACACTCCTTAGATCCGCTTTCCTCTAAAACCGTTTAACCAAAGAAAATCCACTGCCAGGAAATATGGCCGCTCTGTAGGAGCTGCATGAAAACGCTTCAAAATGCAAAAACAGGAAATCATTTAAAAAACATCAGGAAAACATCTTTAATTTCACTAAACTAAACGGAAATAAAACATCTCAATTCTGATAATTCAGTAAATCAATACATTTAATGAAGGCTCATCCGTTTAAATTTTAACTTTTTAATCTAGAAATAAATAAAATGATTCATTAAAAGATAAAGTCAGTTGTTTAAAAATGGTTTAAATAAGATAAGAAATAAATAACTAGATGACAGATTATATAAACTGACCAAAATTAATAAAACATTAAAAATAAAGACCAATGTGAGCTGAAAAGGAGTTAAAAAACTAAATTTATATAAAGTTAGAAAAAATTAAATCAGATGGAAAATTACATTAAAATGAACAAATTATATGAAAAGAAAAAAACAAGAATGAGATAAACTTTTTTAAATACAATAACTTTGGATATTCTATTTTTTTTTATTCTATTTTACAAGGATTTATTTTTACAGACTGTATTTTTAAATGTAATATTTATAAATTTACTAATAATTCAAAACTCTCTTAGCAGATTTGATATTTTCTATTTGTTTTTGCTGCGTTTCACATTCTCCTCACTTCCTGTCCAATCAAACGCTAGCCCAACATCCAGCAGACCAATAGAAACGAGCCTTTGCTCCTCTCTGCAGAGGAAGCCCCGCCCCCAGCAGGGAAGAGAACCTGATCTGGAAAACGGAGTTTGAAAAGAATTCAGTTTGTAAAATTCAATCTGAAATACAGAAATAAAAAAATTCTGTCAAAACTTTTTGGGAAATAAAATCTGTTAAAAATAAATAAATAAATAAAACAACAAAAAAATACATTTTAACAAGAAAGTGACTATATAACCTTTTATTGATGAACTTTTTTAGTTTTAATTGCATTTTTCTCAATTTTTCTTTTACAAAATATTTTCTTTGCTTGGAACAATAATGGAACAAAATTTACTCCATACTTGGGAAGCTTTCCATCCGGGATGTTTTCCTCTGACGGAAGACAGCGGCTCGGAGACAGCAAGGCCAGCTAATAATGTTTAATAAATAAAAATAGAACCAGGAGACGAGCATAGAGAGCTTAAACAGAGCAGAACACAGGAAACAGAATCTATTCAGAGAAAAATTTAAACAAACACAAAGAAGAAGCAGAAATAATCACTGAAGACAAAAATAACTAGAAATAAGAAAGAGAACAAGAACCAAACCAGTTCAGCAAACCCAGCAAAGCAGGTTAATATGGCAAGACCCAAACAGAACTAATAGAAGGTCTACGGCAAAACCCAAAGATGAAATGAAGTAATCAGGAGATAAAATGAATATGAAATTAAATCTAAATCAGTTGAAACCAAAAACTTGATTCCTTGTGGTTCTGAAATCATTCTGATCGTTTAGATTTTTGACATTAATTTATCAACCGTCAAACATCTCCTTCATGATTTTTACTCTGGACTCAGAGATGGTCCAAAAAGTTCTGGTTCTGATGGTTCTGATGGAGAAGACCTCTGACTGCGCCTCATGACCCGCCTCATGCTAACTGGAACGCTTGATGACAGGAAGCAGCAGATCAGCCTCTGTCCTCCTGACCGCCGTGGAAACGAGCTGCAGAGCCGCCGCCTGTTAGCCGCTAATTAACCCAGCAGGCAGCAGCTGCAGGCCGCCACCCCCCCCCCCCCCCACAGGTGAGCAGAGCGCCGTTCGCTTTAATTAACGGATCAGGCCAGTCAGACTAGCTGGTTCTGCTGGGCTAAACATTTGCCTGCAGTCCACCAGAACCAGTCAGAGGACATGGTTCTGACTGGTTCTGCTGGTTCTGTGGGTTTCACTCAGACTTTCCTGTGAGTTTAAACTCATCATCTTCAGACCATCTGAGTGGAAAAAAACAAAGCAGAAACCCGATGGGACCGGATGAGTCTGTGTCAGAATCTGATGGTTTTAGGAGAATAAGGAGCAGAACCAGTGGAGCTGCGTCTCTGTTCTGATGTCAGCCATCCGTTCCATCCCGTCATTTAGAATCGATTCGTTTCTGATCGTTTTTTAGCCGTTATCTGAACGACATCACCGCCCTCTGCTACAGATCAGGACTCATATCTACAACCTGCAGCAAATCAATAAACAAACAGCTGTAAGGCACGCAGGAAGAGGTGTGATGCTGCGGGCCTGTCTGGCTCCGTCTTCCAAAGGTTCTGGGTCCATGTTAGTGAGGAAGACTACGGGCCGTCATGAGGAGAACCAACAGCTTTAAGTCAGAGGTTGTGGTTCTGAAACCTCCCTGGCGGGTTGGAAACCGGTTCTTCCCAGACTGGAGTCCAGATCCAGCCAGCAGAACCCGCCGGCGCCGCCGCGTCAGGGTTCTGCTGGGCGGGTCCCCGCAGTGAGGCAGGCAGGGGAGTAGATCTTCACCGTCTCGTCCCAGGAGCAGTCCAGAACCTGCAGAACCAAACAGCAGCCGTTACTGATCCGCTCTGAACCCAACAGAGCCAAGATGGAGGTCGGGAGACTGAGGAGGAACAACGGCGGAACCGATCGGGTTCTCTACGCTCCGCAGCAACAAAGAGCTGAATGACCGGAACCGATCGGGTTGAACCGGCACATGACAGTCAGGCAGAACCTGCAGCGGGACATCAGCGATCCAGAACCATCAACCCACTTCAGCTTATTTAAGGTCCTGCTTCAGGAAAACAGGACTTCTGCAGAACCTCAGCGGATCCAGAAGGTCCGAAGGCCTGAGAGTCGCCGTCGGGTCCATGGTGGGAGGTTCTGCTACCGGACCGGGATGGGCTCGCCGTTAATCACAGAATCTGCTTTCCAGGGTTCAAAACGTCTCTCTATCAACTTGGCGTGGCCTAGTCAAAGTCCGGTCCAATCGGTACCAGGAGCCTCTGATGAGAGGAACCGGGGGTTCTGGGTCTGGGGGAGCTGTGTCAGCTGAGGGCTCAGGTCCAGCGGGTTCATGCAGAGCGTTTTATTTCTAGCCGGTTCCCTGCAGGCTGAACGCTGTGCTCTCTAAACAGATACCAGACCAGCTGAGCGACGGCGCCCGGAGCTACGGCCGCGGTCTGATCTTATCGGGTTATTGTTCTGCTCACAGTTCCCATCAAACGGACCCAATGTTCTGGATGGACGCAGACAGCCTGGTGATCTTAGCTCCAGCTGATGACAGGCTGCAGGTCTCCTCAGATACGGCCCCTTCAGCCCGCCTTCATTACCAGGTTAATGGACGTACGGCCTTTCATCACGGATCAGAATCAGACCTTTAATCATGCTGCATCTGATGGGCGCCGCTTCAAACGCAGCGTCCTCTGCTTTATTGCCTCTCAGGCTGCGGGGCCGTCTGCTCGGAGTTGGTTTCATTTGATTCTTAGTGACTGTGGAGCTACTGGAAGCTGGAGGAGCATCAGAAGAGAAGAAGAAGCAGAGCTGCACCTTTAACCACGTAACCATGGAAACGGGCTAGTTTTACTTCCACAGGACTTTGGTCAGGATTGTTTGATTTAAGGTGCTTAAAGAAGAAAGGTCAAGATGTGACTATCGCCTGGAAAACACTGTTTGCAGGGCGATGCTTAATGGGAATAAAGCTTCTATGTTCTACGTAGAACAAACAGTAGCAGCCAATCAAAATGGTCCTTCCCAGTCAGAAGCCCCTCCCACTTCTACTCTGACTCCACCCTTTCACTGACCTACAGGGTCCAGCCAAGGACCAGCCAAGGACCA